GAATTTGTTTTAATATACTTTATTTCAGTAGGATTATGGGTAGCACAATAAGTAGTAACCGCTTGTTAACCCATCATACTACATCTGTATCCCATAACAGAGTATTGACACATACCAATACAACATCTTCTTCCGTTCATTCCTCCTGGGTTACATGGCATATTAGCACTGATGCACTGAAACATATTCAATTAAAAGATTTAGAAGTATTTCATAAAACAGTAAAACATTCCCTCCGTATAATAGCGATTATGCACGAAGTTATATTTATTTTAAAACCCACATTTCATAAAACAAAAATTATTAGCCCTGAGGTATATACAACAAAAGAAAAACGAACATGGACCATATACAATCCAGTTATTGTTTTTATACATTTAAAAGTAAAATCTAAATGAATATACATTCTTATCAATATTTTCATATAGTTCGGGGATTTCATATCAGTGGTAGGGTGACCCACCATAAATAAATATCTCCATATATCTCGACAATTACGCCACAATATTTATATATATGCCAAGCCTCAAATCAGTTTCACACAATTATAGTCACTAAATAAACGATCATGTTGTACTTAATAAGCTATGACCATTAATCATGTATAAATAATAGACTGAAAACTGGTTCCAAGAGTGGTCCATAACATCCAGACACTTTTGAGTAAAAGATAGGTTACGTGCCCATGTTTTGAAATTAGTCTCGCTTAACCAGTCTATCGACCATTCTACGTCTAATTGACAGGTCGGGATAATCAAGACTACTTTTTTACGAAACGTAACAGAAAGCTAGAACAAGAAATTGAATTTAGAAATAAGCACGTTAGGTAGCTTAACAATCGTTTTAAGAAGCTTGTAAAAGTAAAATGAAACTACTGCTAGTATCATGTTCCTGCCTAACCCGAGTGATTCAGAGATATTATTTGTACTAAACCAAAAGATGCCGCTCTTAACGGTACAGTTAATGATAAAGCGATTTAAAAAATGAAACGAACGTAATTTCTAAATCTGCTGTAATAACCAAGAAGCTTAATTTAACTGCTATTCAAAATCGTCAACAATAAATTTTTTACGGCTGTAATAGTTGATAGATTTGTAGAGAATTGCACGTGCCATGGCTATTTATAGTATCATACTGTCAGAAAGTTGGTCTCGGCACGGCGAATGTGCACGCTTCAGTGGTAGTCTCGAACTATCAGCGGTGGACTGTATTTCTGTGAGTACATGGGTCACCCTACTGTCAGTGGTAGATCACAGCCTCTACTTGTGTTTTAGTTTTCTAATGGAGTTTTACTAGCGCGTTTTATATTATATTCATGAATACCATTTGGCTCGAAAGCCCAATGACATAATTATAAAAACATGAATATATATTATATTTTTTGTGTATGTAATACTTACCATCATACCACCACCCATACCTCCTCCAGGGTACATATATCTCTTCTCTCTATCCTCATCTTGGGCAGAGATACAAGCAGCCAAAACAACCAGAGCAACGATGACGATCAAAGAACGAGCCATGTCTAAAAGTCAATTTAAAAAAATATTTAATACGTTTGTCAAATATTCACACGAAATACATTCGCAAAATTCGGATGTAACAGTTCGCTTTCAACCATAAACATAGCAAACAAAAAGGTCAGTGGAAGAGTCAAACATCTCGATTGATACATTACTTCGTGTATTACATGAACGATTGTATAAAAATAAAACAAATTTTTACCTGAATATTAGATACTGTACCAGTGAATAGTAGAATCTATGATAGTTTCTGTTTGACACCAAGTTTTATATACCATCCTTTAACAACATCTGGTAGCTTTATTAACTGTGGTATCTGACAGGCCATCTTTACATATCTCTTATATTCTAATTAACATATTTTATTATTAAAATAGCCGATCAACGTACGTTGATAAGTATCTATGCGTCAGTTTTAATCCTGGCATATTATCTTCTTTCAAAGTCGTAATAACTACCACACGAACACCTTATGCCACTTCTCATTTGACTAGCATGCTTTCTATCCTGCTATCCATTTATCCTGCAGCAGTGCGTCCTTCTGTGGCCCGCAGTTTAAACAACAATCTGCGGATTTTCTTTTGGTTGATATCGTACTAACGATGCTTTTTTTTTATTACAAACGATACCAATAATTAATATGATATCTTATTAAAGAATTTCTATGCTATAACTATGTAATCTTGGATGAACTTCCGAAACACGAATAACAATCTGGCTAACGTTTTGTACAATTGTATCTTGATTTTCATAATGTGGCCTGCTGATTAGTGTGAATTTAAAAAATGTGAATTCTCGAATAATGAGCTTGCCCTTTGTTCGTTTTCTTTTGAAGCCCTGGTGATTTATTGAGTAAGACGTTTTAGTTAAAACTCGCTAACCTATAGGTCGCGTGTTCGATCCCGGTGTTGACCGAGAAAGTTCATTGGTATTTTCCGGTGCAGTCGCCCCTTTCTAGTGGTTTAGGTCGGATCACCTGACAAGGGAAAAACGTGTAGTGGTTTGGGAGGTAACGAAAGACGGAGTCCACATCGTGGTGGGCGTGAAAGAACCTCTGACAGGTGGAATTAGAATAAAAGTGGTCCGTAGCGCTGCTGTTCGGGCAAAATGTGCCCCATAGCACACCACTGACGCATGTCCGTCTTCATTAGCCCATTCGGAGCAGAACAGTAAAACACTAACCCCCATTTCATTCATACGTTATTTGCGATTAGTCGGTTGGGGTTTCTAGGTCAATATGGCTACTTTAGACGTCTGACGCATACTTATCATCATTATGAATGTCATTTTGTAGTACAAATAAATTTCGATCTCTTAGCCTTGTTTATGGTCCGCAGACTGTCGACAAATTAATTACAGCCATTTTTTCGTACCGTCGTCTGTCTAAATTGCTATATCCAATTTGTGAAACCTATATTTGCAATGCTTATACTTTTGTTACAAAACAAAGATTGCCATTAGCATACATTTGGCCATGCAAATTCTGTCCTGCAGAATTTTAAGCTAAATTTCAAACCCCTAATAAAATAGTTTATTCAGCTGAAAACAAAACTATTTTCGGATCTGTTCTTAATCGGATTGCGGTTTAATCTGTCACCTGACCTGTTTTATATTTTAAACCAACGACATTTATTACGTCACTTAAATACAGTTATTTCCAAACGGGTCACGGGATGCTAATAACACAAAGTCAATCACCCACCATATTGTTTTGAATCGTTAAAGATATTTCGTCTGTTATCATCGCACAATACTCACTAGTTCTAACATTTTCCGTCATCTTTATTGCCAACGAGACTTTATTTGATCATTATACACCTTCCAATGTAAATAAATTGATCATTTTACAGCGTTATTAATTCAAGATCAAATTTATCACATATCAAGCGTTATCACTTGGCTATTCGTATCTCAGACGGACCGGAAGTAAGAAGAAATGGTGTCAACGACGTTATGTTGGGGAAGCCCTTATTTTTGATTGGTCGAGGCGTGTTACTAAAACTAAAATTGACCTTCATAACTGATAGCGAATTAAGAATCTCAGAAGGAACATACATACTTAGGACAATTTAATTGATCAAAAGTAAAACGGCTTTATAAAACAATTTTAATTCTGCAACTTGCATAGACGTAAAAATATGTGTGTGTGGGGGGGGGGGATCTCTCGGGTAGACAGTTAAAGTGATAAAAAAAATTAATATATTAAAGAAATAAACCTGACATCTCCGGTTTCGGCCGATATCTGCTATAATAGATTTTTCGAGCATCGATCATTATTTGTTTCATCAATATTTCAGAAACAGTTTTTTTTTTAAAACTGACTTAAGAATTTAAAATATTTAAAATCAGTGTTAAAAACGGTGTCTAGTGCCACTCTATAACTTCAAAAGCCTGACATTTTTCACCCGACAACCACGTGTATTTGTGTTTTTGGTGCAGTTTGGATCACCCAGTCCCTAGGCATTTTTGAGTAACGGATATGTTAATAAAGGGACTGGGTGATACAGACTGCTACACACAAAAGCAAAAGGGAATTCCTTTGACCTCATTTCGTCATATTTCCGGTCCGTCGAAGATACGAATAGCCAAGTGATCACTCACGCTTCAAGTTTGATTTGTAATTAATAACGTGGTAAAATGGCCAATTTAATTATATTGGAAGGTGTATAATAATCAAATAAAGTCTCGTTGGCAATAACAATGACGGAAAGTGTTAGAACTAGAGAGTATTGTGAGACGATAGCAGACGAAATATCTTCAACAATTTAAAACAATATGGTGGGTGATTGACAATGTGTTATTAGTAATACTAGTCAAGCAAGAGTAAGGAGTTTTATTTTAATACCTTCATGTGCCCGTGTCTTAACTCTCTTATTATTCAACCTCAAAATCATAAATATTCACCCAAACCTGGCAGAACATGTGTTCAAACCCTTTTCTTCGATTTTACACCAAAGAATCAACAAAAATCATCATGCAAAGGGGGAAGGGCGACAAAGACTTAAAAAAAAACTTTGCACCAGATTTATAAGAATTAATGGCCAGTGGTGTCTATTTATATGGCCACAGATCACCAATGATTTCCCCATTGACTTTAATGTTAATTCTCGTCTCTTAGATCGGCTCTTACTTTTCCCCAAATTTTCGTTGAGTAGAACACTTTCTACCACAGATGGAGCACATGCGGCAACATCTTGCTCAAAGGCACGTATAAGGTTCACAATGGAAAACACAAACTGGAAGTAGAGATAAAAAAAACCCATGCAATTAACTCTTGTATTACTCCGCTTCAAAATCATGAATATTTACCAAAACCTAGCAGACAATGTACATTCAAACCCCTTTCTTTGATTCTACACCAAAAAGTCTTTAAAGAGACCTTCATGCAAAAGGGGGCTAAAAATAACTTTGGGATGTTTCGTAAGAATAATTGGTGGTCTGGATCCATATTACGTCATTTAATAGAGTTATCTCCCTTATAATCAGGAAGTATTTGTTTAGTTTCTAAATCTAAACTATGCAAGACGTGTATGATTATTCCGTTCTCTTCTACTTCAATGATGATGAACCGAAAAGGGACACATTAGAAAGACAGTTTATATCTCAGTTAAAGGAGTTGTTGTCCAATCAGGGATATAATAAGTCATATACATACGATGATCTGCCACCCGGGGGTAACTATTTGAATGGCTTGGATGATGTGATCACTAAATCAAAACGAATCATAATCCTAATGACCACAAATTACATCAAGGATGAAGACTGGATTAAATTTACCAACCAAACAGGCGTTATGGAAACGATAAGGAAAAAGGAGTATGGGAAGATTATACCGATATGTTTGGCTATATCGGCAAACGATATTCCCTTAGCATTCGGTATGATTAATAGAAAAAAGATAATATTTGAGACTGATTGGAGAACCGATAGGACAGCATGGGATGATTTAATGAAAATAATTAACTGTAAGTACATGCCATGTGACCTGTCTCACTAGTTAGTGGTGCTTAAATGTCGGTACTCACTGGAACCTTTTAAGTCGGAAAGATGGCCATAATAAGATATAACTTTAACTTTTTATATATTATGGCTGTGAAAAAAGACGTACAGTTTCTTACTTTTTCCAGTGTACTATTTAAGTGACAATATACATAAATAAATTATACAGCAGTTTTGAGAAATTGATAATGATAAGTCTCTTTTGGGTGGTTTGAATCGCCAAGTCATGTTAATAATTGACCCGTCCAAAATTTGATTTTTTTCTTCCTCGATCCAGTACCCAGAGGCCCCAGTAAGACAGTTATATGTTATGAAATTTGGTATTCATTAATGCGTCTTGTTATGTTTAGTAGACGTTAATTGAGGTCCTTTAAAGTAGACAATTTAGAGTATTTCATCTTCGATTCAGCAATCTCAAATGCAAGATTATTCATCTTGATCTCTGAAGGCCTCCTGGTAGTGGAGACCCTTGACTGCTCCCATGTAATATCATATATAAATATGATCCTGGGGAGAAAGACGGGAACCTTTTTTATTTATAGAACAGTATAATGAGAAAAGTAGTTAGCCTGGCTTGTAAAGTAATTTTTAATGATAATTTATAATGAACGGACTTTGTGGTTTAACAGCATCACCTCCAGTTTCTGTCAGCAATGAGGAGAGTCCTGTTGACCCACAGCAAGAAGGTTCGGGTGATCAGACTCTATCGTCGGCTGTAGCAGGGATTTCCTCAGGGTTCCGCGATCATGAAGTAGACGAGGTACCTAAAGGTAAGTCAACGAAGAAAGTAAAGAAATGTTAAAACTGACATTCACATGTTACTTTCAAGGCCGAACGCACCATTCTTATTTTAGTTGTAGTTGTTAGTTATGAGAATATTAAAAAACATTCATTTCAGAACCCCCATACACCAAGCATCAAATTATGGGGGCGTCCTTATATACTTCTGAAGAATCCAGAGCTTTAAGAAAATTCGTATAAAGAACACTACCCTGTATCAAATCTAAGCGTACATGGGGAGATAACTCTGGAATTTCCCATCGATTGGGTTCTTCCTAAGGACCCGTAGAATGTCCATAAAAACTTGCGAATTGGGGACAATATAGGTATATGAATATGATCATTCAGGAAGCCGCCTTACAAATGAGAAATTCAGTCACTGGAGTCAACTTTTACAGCTATTAATCATCCAGTGGAAACTAATAGAACTAAGCTTTAAAGAACTGATACATTAAACTATAGTATTATACTTCTGTATTTCACTTAATTTTCCTGCATTCTGTAAATATAGAATGGAACTTACCAGGCCTATCATCTACTAACTCAAGTTATAGGAACCGTGTACTATATTGCGTTCACACGATTTAATAAATGCCTGAAGAGCCGCTATCGCGGTGAAAACGTTAGCATAAAAATGTAGTTTTATTTTGTCATCTTTAATTTCAATTATATATTACAAAAGAGCAGCTTTAATTAACTATATATATATATATCAAATGGTCCTAAGGCACTTTAATTCAGATTAGTACTTGACCACCATACAATCATGTAGTTTGTTTGATCTGGTTTGCAGAAAATTACATTATGCTTAGCTACTCATGGTGTCAACAAACAGTAGTCAAGAAAATACGAGATCAGCTGGTAGCAAACAATATAAGGGTTTGGATGGATACTTCAGATATGTCACACGGCTCCATAAATAAGAGAATGGCCAAAGCTGTTGATGATGCGACCATTTTTTTGATGTGTTATTCCTCCGAATACGAAACGAGTGTTAATTGTCTGAAAGGTAAATATGATTATGAAGTTTTAAAATTGGAAGGCAGGGTTGTGTCAATGCTATATTTTCAAGAACTGTTTTGTTAAAAAGGTGGTCGCTTTAAATGGAAAATAACGGTCTAATAGATTTAATTAATAACTATTAGTTACTTGTTGACGTTATTGGTACCTTATGAACTGGATATAAGCCCTCAAAGAATGTACCTTGCATGGTTACACGATAAGACAATACCGATCTTTTGGATAGGAGATTGCGTTTGCTGTTATTAGTTGGGGGTACTTAATCGCATCTTCCTCTGGGGCCTGTTTCACCAAATTTTAACTAAGATAAAATCCAAATTTTAGTAATTTGATTGGATAACATTAGATTGCTTTTAGTGCTTAGCCAATCAAAATTGAAGTATATACTAAAATTTGGATTTTATCTTTAGTTAAAATTTAGTGAAACAGGCCCCTGGTCTATAGGTATTGATAGCCAAAAACGCCACACTCTGCTATGTACACTAATTACCCAGTGTATTCAACGGATTGGTTCAAGATATAGTTTACTGGATAAAGATAGTTAATTCTTATGAAATACCCTCACAGAAAGTAATGGGTCTATTTCACGCAAATTGGCATTTGATTTGAATAACCACACATATATTATTCAGCGCATGCGGACTCAGGCTAGCAATTATTTGCTCATTGACTTTAAAGTTAAATGGCTGTAACATCACAGGCTGTAGCTTTTTGCTCAACATTCCATTGGTTCCAATCTTTATAAGCACATAGCTAGGAGACGGCATTTGGCAATCCCCTCATCATAATTTTGTAGGGGCTTGACCGTTTAGAGTTTTTGCTACGAGAATTTGATGTTGACTGGGGTCAGAATCTCACTTCCGACACAATGATTGATCATACAGAAAGACACCTTACACCCTCATAAGTGTGAACCAAAACTGCTATGAAATTGCAAATTTCATCCGTTTTTCCGATTCTAGACCAAAAAGTCAACCAAATGATGTAGGAAAAGGTGGGGGAACATTAAGGGAATAACTGTCTATTTAAAACTCGTACTACATTCATGAAATAAGGGAAAATAATGACTAGTCTTAGACCATGCCTTGTGAAATCTTGGACAGTTCATTAGTTATAAGTGTGGTGTACTCTTGTGTGCTCTTGTTTAATTATTCCCCCTTATCGCTAGAGAGGACGGGTATAGATTTTCGTAGCGATACATGTATATATAAAACTTATCTATTATTTTGTGACACAACAATTTCAGAGGTCGAATATGCTGACCAACAAAAGAAGGAAATATTTCCATTAAAAGTGGGCAAATGGGATCCAGAAGGTGTAGTTGGAATCATACTTGGAAAAAAACTATATTATGATTTTAGTGATGAAAAGAAGTTCATTTCAAGCATGGACAGTTTAATAAAGCATATCAAGAGCTATATGGAATCAGGAAAGTAATGAACTTTACGATCGTATTAATCACTGCCTAGCAACCTACTTTGTCATGCCTCGAAATTCCTGCAAACGCTCTGCGGGTCAGGTTTTGTCTCTTTGCCTAAAAGGATATTTGACAATTCAAACAAAAGAATTGGCTGTCATTAGATAAAAGATAACGAACAAATTAGAAAAAGTCCGTGCATTACCATGTTTTTATTAAGAACAGAATGAATAAAAACGGGGGAATGCACGGGATTTTTCTATTTTTCTCGTTTTCCCTTATCTAGTGACAGCCAATTATATTTTTGAATTGTGAGATACCCTCTCACCGTCCCATATAATAACTTTTCAACTTCAACGGAATTATCAGTGAAATGAAATTCGATCGTTTGTCTGTTATCGCTCGTTACTTCAGTCAGATATATAGAAGGATAACTCGTGTTTGTCATGTTTGGCGTCACTTCCCGTTTCTTCACGTGCTTGTTACACATCTCCCGTAGCAATGATCTCAGTGTTAAAATTATATTTGGAATGCATTTAACAAGTTCTATCACATATGTAATTATGACTGACACCAATATTGTCCTTTAAATAATGGGCAGTTATCATTGATCGATTTGATCAGGGTTTGTTTTAAGAAAGGTACTTTTTATCCTGTATGGCATGCCCTTTTAACCTCTATATTTACTTCTTGTATTCATTTAGTAGAAGTCCCAGATCATCTTCTGATCACCTTTTCTTAAAACCGTGTTAAGTAAAACTTGTATCATGGAACAACATGTCTTGTAATGTACAAGGTACAAAACTATGTAAAAGCCTTCCTTTTAATTTGCACAATAGCCAATCTATAACTATTATAAGATAACACTGAAAACCCATTTTACAGGATTTCAGTTGATATTCATTTAATTCTAAATGTGGTGTATTTTATGTGTTTTGTAATTATCATTGAACTTTTAAAATTGAAGAAATTCATTGTATGTACATGTATGTGTATTGCTTTTAAAAACTAGATTATTCTACATTATTCAAGAGCTAAATCTGCTTATTGCTGTAGGTCTTTTGTCTAACATTTATTTGTCCCCCGCCTTTCGAAGAAAGCAGGGGACTATTAAAATGGGTTCGTCCGTCACACTTTTTGGGACACAATAACTCTCTTCCTAATTGAGCTAGAATGTTCAAACTTGGTGTATGTGTTTATTAGGTCAATGCCTTGATGGAGTTCGAAGATGAGCATTTTCCGCTTAGGGTAAGCAGAGATAAGCAATTTGATTGGTTGATGCTTTGGGACACGATAACTCTTCTCCTAATTGGGCTAGAATGTTCAAACTTGGTGTATGTGTTGATTAGGTCAATGCCTTGATGGAGTTCGAAGATGAGCATTTTCCGCTTAGGGTAAGCAGAGATAAGCAATTTGATTGGTTGATGCTTTGGGACACGATAACTTTTAATTGAGCTAGAATGTTCAAACTTGGTGTATGTGTTTATTAGGTCAGTGCCTTGATGGAGTTCGAAGATGAGCATTTTCCGCTTAGGGTAATGCTTTGGGACACGATAACTCTTCTCCTAATTGGGCTAGAATGTTCAAACTTGGTGTATGTGTTGATTAGGTCAATGCCTTGATGGAGTTCGAAGATGAGCATTTTCCGCTTAGGGTAAGCAGAGATAAGCAATTTGATTGGTTGATGCTTTGGGACACGATAACTTTTAATTGAGCTAGAATGTTCAAACTTGGTGTATGTGTTTATTAGGTCAGTGCCTTGATGGAGTTCGAAGATGAGCATTTTCCGCTTAGGGTAAGCAGAGATAAGCAATTTGATTGGTTGATACTTTGGGGCACGATAACTCTCTTCCTAATTGAGCTAGAATGTTCAAACTTGGTGTATGTGTTGATTAGGTCAATGCCTTGATGGAGTTCGAAGATGAGCATTTTCCGCTTAGGGTAAGCAGAGATAAGCAATTTGATTGGTTGATGCTTTGGGACACGATAACTTTAGTTCTAATTAAGTGAGATTGATGAAACTTGGTGTATAGTTTCATTACAGTAATACCTTGACTAAGTTTGATAATGAGCATTTTCTGCTCAGGGTAAGCAGAGCGATACGCAATTTGATTTTTATATGTGTCCTCTAATTATTTTCCTATTTCGGCGGGGGACATCAGCCTCACTGTTGGCTTGTTATATTATACATTTATTCATATGGCGAGCGCATAATCAACTCTCTAGGTCAACAGGATGGCTGGGATATGGAATGGAAATTTCTTGTCAAAATTTTAAACACTCATAACTTCGGTTAGAATAAAGAAATATCACTGAAATCTCCAATATATTTCATTTTTATTATCTATTTTTGTATAGGAAGAACGACCAACTCATTCTAAATCTTGCATAATGTATCTTTAACATAAGACTCGCAGAAGAAGTTCACTAACATATTTTTATTCATCTGAGTGAATTGATGTAATTGTCTATGCTCAGTCTAACAATCATATAGAGAAAATAAACTTACACTTTTTCTAAAAATCTAAGCTATATACGTTTGTGATTTGTAATACATTTTCCCCCTTAGAGTGGGGGATGAGCATAGGAGAGAAATCACCTATTTCTGATAAATGAATTGGGAAAAATGTTCACTTTTCATCCCACTTGAAAACCAACGTACAATACAATATAAACATGTGACCTTATACGTCCGTGATGGGGCCGCTTCCAAATCCGACCTCCTTTATTTACATTGGCGATATTGATATTTGCCATTACGTAGTTCATGGTTACACATATACATATGGTGTAAGATCGGAATTTAGATTTCAAATTTTGACCGGAAATAAACTGAAGATGAAGATTTGTTTCTATCATACACGTTTGTCAACTCGTCTGCACACGTACTGAAAATACAATTTGGGACAGGTCAATCTCCAAATTAAGAGTTTTTTCTACTTAAGGTTATTTCTCGCGTTTAGTTTTCACTTGCAGTCTTACTGCAAACATAAATATAACTCACAAGAACGCGCATTTGTTACTGGACAATTAGGCAATCCTAAATTTATCGCATATACTGGAACCAACTGTGTCAGTCGCACATTATATTTTTGGTAACTAAGACCACAAGAAGGTTACGCAGAAGACGCTGGTCCGTTTGATTTCTGCAGTTTGGTGTCCTTGCAAAGCCCATTATAACATGTGAAAACTGCGGTTTGACTCAAAATTAAATGTAATGGCGAAGTATCGACATTGAAAATTGGATTTATCTCCCTTGGATAGACTTGCCATAATTGTTACCAAAACGATTGAAGATTTGAAGAGGTGTTTCCTCTCTTAACAGGTGTTTTTTGTTTCCAAAGCCCCTGACAGGATAGAATGGACATTTCTCGCTGCTTTCTCTCGAAGATGGGCATTTCTCGCTGCTTTCTCACGAAGATATGCTGTGTGGTTATCGAAATATTGTGGATTGCGTAAGTCGTTATCGAGTATAAAAATGTAAAGTACCAAATTGAGATAATGAGAGGAGTTTAGGGACATGAGTGGAGAATTATTATAATTGTTGGGCTTAACCCTTTAACATAAAAATAGAGTTATCTGTTTAGTGAACAAAGGAAGATACAAACAAGCAGGTATCCCTTCTCTTGAACTTCCTTTGCGGCAATTATTAGTTTATAGGCATCAATAATGTGCATAATCATAAATGCCACATTTCTATATTTCATTATGTTTATGAAAGCGTACTCGTACAGTTTTAATATTGTTCATTTCAGATATTATCATTCTTCACGTATAATAAAATATTACTACGAAATACCCAAAGGTTATTCTCTAATGAGTTTCTAATACTATATCAGCACTGAATATTATGATTCTCCAAACCCTAAGATTGTTTGGCTTATAGCATAAATAGTCGGGCTATGAAATTTCGTAAACATTCATTATTTCCAAACACACGACAGGTCAGAAAAGATTTCAGATAAAATAATTTAAAGCATTCATTATTTGCAAAACACGCCACAGGTCAGTAAAGATACCTGCAAAATAATTTCCAACCTACGGGGACAGTTCCGGTAGACATAAACAGGATCTTGACCATTATTTAGGTCAACCAAACTTTCAAAATGTAACGAACGTAGATAGTGTTGTCACTTCCTCTGAAAGCCCAACAAAGCTCACTCTGGCAAGTAGGAACCCGGGATAAAAACCCATGAAGATTTTCTCGATCCACGCCAGGACTCGAACCCTGAACATTCTAAGCAAGGATTATACTTTCGCCCATGTCACTCATGTTGGTCTCACAAGGAGAGTTTAATCTTGTCGCTGGGGTGGTAAGTGGAATCGACTCCCTGTACATGTTGAAAGTCATGACATTTGGAATTCAAAAATGCCCTGACACCGCAAAATTCTCATTTAGCGGTTGACACGTGGCCAGGGTATATGTGGACGTGACTTTAAACTCCATTCCCTTACTTGTTGAGTGAAGTCAATACAAGTATGTGCTATGATGATGAAAACAGACAACCGTGATGAAACAATAGACTTTATATAATGACTTGGTAATCTACAGTATTCAGACGCTAGTCCAAGGGTTTACTCGATCGACACATTTGGCAGGGAAACTTCAGTCTACTGATAGAGTCAGTATAATGATAAACGGTGTAACAAGTCAAAGATTGTACGACAGAATACTGTTTTCAGACTATTCTGAAGAAAATTATTTAGAGTAGGGTAAATAGTTAGGATCATTGTCCTTTTTGACATCAAATAATAAGGACATAAAGGATCTACAAGGCATTTAACAAATAACGTCAAGCGAATTGCAGCTAAATGTAATGGTACATGATATATTCAAACCCATTAGCTACAGCATCTTACCTATTTTAACATATATTCAGTTGAATTTCGGCCTCTTTTATATTTTTCCATCGTTTAGAAACTAATATAGGAAACTAAATACTTTCTCTAAAACATATCTTACGAGTTAAGAATGATAAATACTGTCATATTCCATAACCACCGGCTGCCAGGCAGGATACGCCCCACATTTTTCAAGAGATGGATAGAGAACTAGCTCAACAAAAAGCGATTTTTCGTAACATCAAGGGCCATAATTCAGAAAGGTACGATCAGATATGTACGAATATCGACAGGAACCAAGATATTTGGGTTATAAACGTGCATTTCAAGTTTCATTAAAATCGGATCAAAAGTGTGACCTCTAGAGGGACCACAACCTTGATATACCAAATGTTTACACTTTGCGTAGAGGGGCGGCCAGTTTGTCTCTGGCAGTTCTTGTCCGATTTTCACGAAATTCTAACTCAACCAACATTACGGTGTAACAGTCATATATTTGAACGTTTTTGTAAATCAGCTAATAATTGTGAACTTTAGGGGGACCACAAGCTAAAAACATAATTTTTCGTACAATCAGAGACCATAATTCAGGAAATTACGATCTGATATACGCAAATATCGACAGCAACCAAGATCTTTGGGTTATAATCATGCATTTAAAGTTTCATCAAAGTCGGATCAAAATTGTGAGCTCTAGAGGGCCCACAACCTTGATATACCAGATGTTTACACTATTTGCGTAGACGGGCCATTTGTCTGGCTGTTTTGGTCCAATTTTCATGAAATTCGAACTCAACCAACAATACGGTGTAACTGTGACATATTCGAACGGTTTCTTAAATCAGATAATAATTGTGACCTCTTGAGGGACCACAAGCTAAAAACGTGATTTTTCGTACAATCAGGGGACATAATTCAGGAAGTTACGATCTGATATGCGCGAATATCGAAAGCAACCAAGACCTTTGGTTATGAACATGCATTTCAAGTTTCATCAAAATCGGATTAAAATTTTGACCGCACAAATATCGCAAGGAACCAAGATCTTTGGGTTATAAACATGTATTTCAGGTTTCATCAAAACCGGATCGAAATTGTGAGTTCTAGAGGGGCCACAAGCTTGATATACCATATTTCTACACTGTCTGAATTCGAGGGGAGGCAATTTTTGTCCGTCAGTTTTGGTCCGATCTTCACTAAGGTGTAACGGTGATATATTCAAACATTTTGTTAAATCGGAATAAAATTGTGACTTCCATAGGGTCCACAAGCTAAAAAACGTGATTTTTCGTACAATCAGTGGCCATAATTCAGGAAGTTACGGTCCGATATGCGCGAATAGCGAAAGGCGCCAAGATCGTTGAGTTATAAACTTAAATTTCAAATTTCAACTAAATCAGATGAAAATTGTGATCTCTATAGGGTCCACAAGTTAAAAACGCGATTGTTCGTACAATCAGGGGCCATAATCCATGAAGTTACGGTCCGATACATCATGCCAATATCGACCATAGGTCTAAACATATATGTTACAGAAACTACCCATTTTGAAAACCAGTATTTGTTTAAAGTGATTTGATTCACGGTTTGTTTACTGGCCAAAAAGGACCCAGACCAACATGATTATTTCATGCCCTCTTGTGAGGATTATTACAGTATATTGTCCCCCAAGGGTGTGTACTAGGTCCCTTGTTATTTAAACGAAGCAACCCGGCCATCTTCTCAAAACTCCTATCCATTCAAAACTCCTCTTTTACGCTGATGACTCGCACCTTTTGGATTCATTTGTCCCTGACATAAGTCAGGCATACAACATAAAATGACATCTTACATACAGAATGCAAAATCATGGATGAACGTAAACAAGCCAAAATTAAATGAAGAAAACGCGGAAGCGCTTATTATAGGCTCCAAAATAACCGACGAATCGGTTTTAATCAATAATGTTATCATTCCATTTTCTCCACTCGCTAAAAACCTTGGTGTGTTTATTGACTAGTTAAATTATATAAAGGATCTGCGCAAACAGTGTTTATATTCACCTCACAACTATTGGCCCCAAGCATCATCTTATCAGTGAAGATTAAATCTTAGGTCTAGTTACACCTTTGATAGTCTCTAGTCTTTACCATTACAATAGTCTACTTGTCGGCATTCCAAAGCATTAAATAGAACTACTTCAAAACATCCAAAGTACAGCTGCCCGAATTCAGACTAGTTCAAATTCACCCGCTCATATCCCTCCAGTACTGAAAAAGCTACATACCTGCCCAAGCCAGGGTCGATTTTAAAATATTGTCTCTTGCCTATGATGTCTGGATTGAAGTGCTTCGAAGTATCTTACGATCTCCTGAAATTGTACGTCCCATCTAGAGAGTTAAGATCAATTAATCAGAAAAAAAACCCTTTGTATTCCTAACTGAAAGCTAAAGTTGCTCCATCTACATCGTGGAATAAACTACCGTTAAACCTCCACAGAAATCCAACACCCAATCACCTCAAATCTGTTTGAATTATATTATTAGAAACTAATGTATTATGTGCCATATGAGCACGTTTTGTGGGTTAGGTGTTTGGCCATTTTATTAGTAGTTTTGTACTTGCCCTTATCTCAGCATTTTCGTCTTTGCGGCGGACCCTGACAGAAGTTTCTATATTACTGTATAATTCAACTAGCACATTAATT